TTCCTTATTTCAAATCTTAAAATCATGACATTAACTTTTAAATATAACTGCCAACCGTAGGCATTGCAAAAGCAAAGAGTTTACCTAAACAAGGAGGTTGTAACGTCACGGACGTTACAGTACCACACAAGCCAGCTAATGGGCCCAAACTAACGCGAGCCCACCGAACAGCGCGCCTTCATTTCGCACGCAGTCATTTAAATTGGACACAGCAAGATTGGAGCCGTGTACTCTTTTCTGATGAGTCTAAAATTGTGTTACATGGCAATGATGGAAGGAAGAAGGTCTACCGACGTAAGGGAGAGCGTTTCGCACAATGCTGCTTTGAAGAGAGGGTTGCTTATGGCGGTCGCTCATGGACTGTCTGGGGCGGTATATCCGCGAGCGGCAAAACTCAACTTGAGGTTGTTACAGGACCACGGCTGCCAACATTAAATGCTGAAAGGTACATTCGTGAGTGCTTAGAACCTCACGTGATACCATACGCGGACTATGTGGGCCCAAATTTCCTTTTTATGCATGATAATGCAAGAGCCCATGCGGCCGGCGTCGTCAGGGAATATCTTCGGGATGTGAACATCACAGTTATGGACTGGCCAGCCAGAAGCCCAGACATGAACCCCATTAAGCACATGTGGGACGAGCTAAAAAGACGTGTTAGGGCTCGTCAGCCAGTTGCCCAGACGATGCAGGAGTTGAAAACTGCCATAGAAGAGGAATGGGAGATGATCCCTCAAAATTTCATAGAGCGGTTGATAAACTCTATGTCTAATCGTATGAGAGCTGTGGTAGATGCCCATGGAGGCAACACGCCTTAATAAATTAAACCTTTATTTGATAAAACATGTTTTTTATTCAAAAATCAATTGCCTTTAACAAGGCGCATATCCGACTTGTTAGGCGTAGCTCCATGTCGTATGGTATTCTGAATTCAAATTTAAAACAATACGATCGAAAAAGATGGTAAAATGTATCAGGTTTAAAACTGCATCAACAGTTTTTGTTCAATCTAGCAGTCATATTTCGGTAGGGGCCATCGAAACCTAAACTCTAAGGTGGGCCAATAGATGTGTCCAGAAGTGTATTATAACTAATCGACGAAATATTTTACATTCAACTTTTTACAATAGTCAATTTCAGATGTGCATAAATATATTATTTTAAGTTATTGTACATCTTAGTGTTTTTATTTGTTTTGTTACCTTAAGTCATGGTGGGCGATAACAGAGTCATGTTGTTAAGTTAAATATTTGTAAGGACAAATCTCAGTTTGTCCTTGGTGGGCGATTATGTATACGCCATTTGTGCATTTAAAATTTTAGTTCATATGTATCAAAATAGATGGCGCTGTAGTTCGTTGCATCACGCTTGTAAATATGTTTGGAGCTACATATAGGCAAAACATCACCTATCTATTAAAGAAATCTATGGTCTAACAAAATACACTGTAGTTTCAATTTAATTCTTTTGCACCTAAGCTCTCGGATTTAACAGTCATTTTGGCTCGAACAGGATGCGCACTAGTGTTGGGTAGGACACGACTTGAAAAAGAGTTTGTAAGAGTAGCCTCTTTTTTGTACTGAGCCAGTACAATGTCCCACTTCAAATGAGGCGAGGCGTACAGAAGCTTGACATATACGTTTGTGTGCACGAGTAGCACCTCCTCTACGCACTATCAATCTTGCTGGATCCAGCATGCAGGACAGCGCTATACACGTAAAAGAGATAGAGATACAGATGGATAGTGCGTAGAGGACTTAAATGAAATGTCATGCCTTGCTCTCTCTCAGACTTACGAAGAGTGAGTGAGTAAAGAGACGCGACTATCGCGACATTTAATGTGAAGTAGTACATTTTAAAATTTTGAGCCGCTCTTACATTTTGACATCATGTCCGGGACAAATGTACCGCCTCTTGTAAGTCCTACTCAACACTAATGCGCACCAAAAACGTAACGAGGTCATTCATCGATAGATTTTACTCCTCACATTTTTCTCACACCGGGTCCCTTATATATGCAAATCGATTCTTAAGGAGTAAACTCCAAAACAGACCGGAACAGGATCGAACATGTCATACAGCTACAGGCGCTCCTACCTAAAGGAACAGGAAGAAACAAGCGGTTCACTCTGGACCTGAAGACTACTCGACCGGCCGTCCATTACCAGCGCCCACCGATTCTCTTCGATACAGAACACTGGGAGTTTTATTCCATTGAAAGCTACAGTCCACACATGTCATCGCTGTCAAGACTGCGTGTACCATCCTCCAGCCCCAAGTGCGAGTCGGTAACTGCCAGCTACTGCTACAGCCCGGCGTGCCGCACACAATTAGATGTTTTATTTAGTAGCGAACTTGCGATAATTCATTTCATTTTCTAAAACGTCCTAAATTCAATATTTTAATATGCCTTACATTTGACATGCTTAAGAATGTACGACTCCGATCTGATCACATACCTTTACATAGCTATGCGTTTTTGACGAGAAAATTAAATCTCCAAATTATACTTATTATAGTGTACGATGGTCGAGGGTGGATGGTTGTAGTAAAAGGTAGGTTTTACCTACCACTTTTTATAACTAATTCCCGGAGCTGACAGTAATGGATGTTGGATCATATAATAAGTTGGATTATATAATAAGGGTGACGCTACTAATATAAATAATTTTCGTCCCATAGCTATGTTAACAACATCATCAAAAATATTTGAAACCGCTATGATAAAACGTCTCGTGCGTAGGTTTTTATGAAAAATTTATCATTTTTTGTGATAATCAATGTGGTTTTAGGAAAAACCACTCCACCTCACTGGCTGTATATGTATTAAGAATGTACATATTAGAAACAATTGAAAACAAAAAAAAATGCAGTTGGGCTTCTTCTTGACTTAAGTAAAGCATATGATAGAGTTTGTCATGCGACTCTACTAACTAAATTATACCAATCGGGAATCAGGGGATTGGCTCATGGTTGGTTTAAATCATACCTCACCAATCGCTTTCAACTAGTAGAAATTGAAAATACTAACTTTGAGACGGACTGAATTACTTCAACTAGATCTGATGTGGTTCCCGTGAATATATATTATATATATTTGTTTCTTAGGTTTTCACGCATTATCTATCTATCCCGCAAGGTAGCGTTTTGGGATGTATCTTGTTTCTGATTTATATAAATGATTTGCCAAAAATATTGGACAGTAAAAGCATTCTCTTTGCAGATGACATTTCCGTCTTAATACCTTGCTCCAATATTTCAGAATTGAAACTTAGTCTGAATTCAACTCTTGGCAAAATAACTAACTGGCTAGAATCCCATAACCTGCAACTTAACCTTAATAAGACCAAAATCATCCAATTTAAACCATATCAAAGGTCTGGATTAGAAATATCATACAGTTACAATGACACGAAATTGGATGTAGTAAGCTCCACTACTCTGTTGGGTATTGAATTAAACACACATTTGAATTGGAAACAGCACACCAAAAAAATAACAAATAAGCTATCATCTTTTATAAACGCACTCCATCAATTAAAACGTGCTAGCGATTTTCAGTCCGCTATTGTAGCTTATTATGCGTACGCGTATTCAATACTTTCGTATGGAATTGTATTGTGGGGAAACTCATGTAACGTTGGGAAGGTGTTTGTTTTGCAGAAAAAATGTATACGAATACTGGCTAACATTGACCAAATGGAATCCTGTAGATCTTTTTTTGTAAAGTACAATATATTAACTTTAGCTTCCATCTATATTCAGGAGTCTTGTTTTATTATAAAACATCCAGAATTTTATTCGCCACTAAAAATAATAAAAGGAATAATAGAAACTTAAATAAATTTAGATTACCGATATCGAAAATGAAATTAGTAGCATCTAGCCCCCATATAATGATGATTAAAATATTAACCATGTTCCTAACTATTTAAAAAACTATAACACACCGACGCAATTTATCAAACATTTAAAAGGCTTTCTTATTGCCAAATGTTATTAAGACTTAAATTCATTTTTCGATGACAAATCACCCAGGCAATGGAATGCTTCAGACTCTTAAGAATTTAATTTATTATGAATGTATTTAAATGAAGAATAAATAACAATATTTTAATGAATTTATGGTGTCGATTCTAGCATGATTCTCTAAACTTTTTTATTCTGTATTGGGAATGATAAGGGTACACTGTCGTCCAATTTAGGTTTGGGTTGGAGAGTCATGCTAGAGTTGACACCAAATACCAATGTATGTATAGAATGATTGAAACTTAATTTATAAATTATATTGTGCAATTGTTTAATAATGTATTTTAAATTAATCTTTATATATATAATTCTTCTGTGAGTGTGTATGTCACTGAACTTCTCTTAAACGACTGGACCGATTTTGATGAAATTTTTTGTGTGTGTTCAAGGGGATCTGAGTATGGTTTAGATTCACAATTTTGTCCTCTGGACAACCCCTATTTTTTTAGGGCGGTACGAAGTTCGCTGGGTCAGCTAGTGTATGTATAGAATGATTGAAACTTAATTTATAAATTATATTGTGCAATTGTTTAATAATGTATTTTAAATTAACCCTCTAAAGTTGCTGTGCCCTTGCAGGGCGTCACATGGTTACTGTATTTTGTTATGTACCACCTTATTTTTGTGAATGTGATATGCAATGAATAAATAAAAGATAATATTTTCCGCGCTTAGCATACCATCTAGTCTCCTTCTTAAAACAAGTAAGGTTTTGTATAAAATCGTATCAATCTGTTTAAGAAGACGATAGAATTTTAGAACGATATGGGTAACATGGTTTTAAAAGACAAAACCATTTAAAATAAGGAATTAAAAAAAAAGAATACGAGGTTCGAAAGCTAAAATACGAGATTTTTAACTGCATATGTACGAGAAAAAAAATCTAAGGTTGGCAACCCTGAGCAATAGAATAGAGTCGAAACGACAAATGCATAAGGACAATGTATCCATTGCCAATAAATCAATAAAAAAAAGTCGAACGACAAAAAACAATGTTCGAAGATTGTAGCCCGTGGAACTAACCTACAAAATTCGCACGAAGTTGAAGTGATTGAGAGTAATTTTGTTTTGTATTGAAATTGAAAATGACTTCTACACGCCTCTTTGTTGGCAATCTACCGGATACTGTAAAAGAGACTGATGTAGAAGCAGCGTTTTCAAAATATGGACAAATTGTAAATGTGGATTTCAAAAATAAAAGTGGTGCTGATAAAAACCAAAAGCTCTTTGGATTTGTAACTATTTCTGCATCTAATTATGAAGTTGAATCATGTGAGTTATTATTTTCAACTATTCTTAGTGATTAAGCAGGTTTAAAGAATTCTATCCATCAATGTACTTATTACCTACATAATGAGCCTCGTAGTAAGAAATGTAAAAATATTACAGGCATAAACCATTTTTCAAGTGAAGATTTTTACGGGAACCGCCTTTTCGTCACACGAGCCCGTGAAAGCTTTTTAGAACGACTGCAGAGGGAGAGACATGAAGCACAACTAAAGGAGGCAGAAAAGGTGAATAACTTTATGGATAGGTAAAATTTTATAATGATCTTTACCTGAGATAAATATATTTATGTTTAACTATTTATTAAATATTATTTCAGAATGCCCCTCAACAAGATCTTCCGAAAAAGAACCCTGTTTTGAAATTATCTGAAAAGTTGAATCCACGCAAAAGGAAATTTGACACATCAAACAATTTCAGCAATCAAAAGAAGCCACACAAGCAACATGGTTTTGAAAACAGTTCACAGGACCTCCACAATGCTAATGAACAACCAGTGGAAGAAATTGTTGTGCCTGAAATGGATAAAAAGAAACAGGAGTCAGATAAAAAGAGAATGGAATCAATGAAAAGAAAAAGACAGGAATTTCTAGAAAGACAAAAGATAATCAAAACAGGTCTCATTGGGATTGTAAGTGATTTAAGTTGATTTGATTTTGCATTAATGGATTACATTCTGATGTATTAATTTTTTTTAATGATTTCAGGACAAAGTAACAAATAATAAAGTTATATTTTCAGATATAAATAATGGTGATACATTTACATCTGCTCATAAAGATAATCACACTATAATTGAAAATTATAAAACAAAAAGTTCTCTTTTTGATGATGATGCAAGTGATGATGATGTTAATTTTGAAATTAAAGAACAATTTGAAGGAAAGATGGGGCAAAAGGTACTTTATTCATATTTTACTGTTGTTATAATTAATATTACACATATCAAGCACTTGGTAATAATGATAAATAAAAAGGTTTTAGATTTACAATCAAGATACAAATCTGATAAACGTTTCATCTTAGATGAAAGGTTTATAGAAGATGGCAACTCCGAAGAAGAAAAGGATTGTACTCATAATGACAATGAAGACAAAATAGATTTGGGAGATGCAGATGAAAAAACAAAACAGCTAAATATATTGCAAGATGTGCTAGGAGTGTCAATAAAAACTAGAACAACTAAACCAGAGATGAATAAAACCAAGTTAGCTTATTATTATTAATTTGTTTTTAATGCTAGACAATTTTGGCTAAACAAGTGGCTCTATTTGTTGTAATATCTTTTTATACCATGTTTTCTTGCAAATAAGATTTATAACATGTTGTGTTTTCTAAACCTAAACAGTAATTAAAAATTTTAGATCAAAACTAGGTATGCTCAGGTTTGATCCTTCACAACCTGAACATGCAAAATTTTTGGCACCAGTGGATAAAATTAAACAAGAATCTACAAAAAAAGCGAAAAAGAAAAAGCTAAAAGAACAGCAAGAAGATGAAAAAACAAAAAAAGTTATACCAGAAAATGATAAGCCAAAAATTGAGGTATCTAAGGAGCAATTTTACAAAGTCAGTGAAACCCTAAAAGAATCTTTAGAGCAACCTAATAATTTCAGTCTAAGAAGTTTGTTTGGTCCAAATGAAGATGATGAAAAAGGTATAATAATACTCCATTGAGTTAATACATTATATTACTGTAAAGATTATTAATCTTTTTATTAATTTGCAGTTACTCTGGCACAAGATACTGATTATATACCATTAGAAAAACCAAAAGACCCCAAAGTTAAGAATCCTTTAAATCTTGTTGGCAAAAACCCATTTATATATGACTCTTCTGATTCTGAGACAGAGGAAGTTGTAGAAATAAAGAGTCAAAGAAAATCCACTGAAACTAATTCAGAAGTAAATAATACATCAGAACCTAAAGCAGTGTGGAAAGAAAACTTGTTTTTTTCAAAATCAGACAGCAGATTACAAGGTATTGTGTGTTTTCAATGTCAATTAAGATTCCTTTTGAAATTGTCAGAATAAGTAAGGTGAACATGATAATCATATTGTAGGGTGTTTAAAAACTTGTGTTAGTGTTTCATTAATATTTTTTTACAAGCTTTATTTCTTAGTAATTTATATCACTTTTGCTGTTAAATCCATGGGGGCCTATTTTTTACTTGAATTATATTATTGATTACAGATGGCTTATCATTTTTCAACAAAACCACTGAAAATGAACCAAACAAAGAAAGGAGGGTATTGAAATCTGTAATGAAAAAGAGACTCTATAATAAAGAAAGAAAGAATCAGATGTTCCAGAAAAAAATTGGTGGTAAAAGAAAGTCAATGAAGAAAATATATAAAAAGAAACATTGATAACTAACTAATTTTAATTAAATTAAAGAAAGTTTAAAAGTATTATTTTCATTTAATTTTTTTACTACTATCGTTTCTTCCACGTAGGTTTCTTTCGGGCTCCTGGTTGGCCAGGCTTCTTACGTTCACGGCGGCGATGATCTCTAGTCAGTAAACCTGCAACTTGCATCTTCTCAAGCATATCTTTTTCAACAAAACTCCGAAGGCTCCAAGCAATACCCCATCTTATGGCACCGGCCTGTCCTGACGGACCTCCACCTTCTATGTTGCAAACAACATCAACACGATCTTGCATACCAGTAAAAATAAGAGGAAATATAACTTGTTCCCTTGATTGTATGTCCTCAAAATAAGTAATGTCCTTGCCATTGATTGAAATATTTCCTGTACCAGGAGATTTTATGGTTACATCACCTCTAGCTTTCTTCCTTAAACATTCGTAGGTTGTGATAAAAGCACGACCATCTTCATCATAATTAGGCTTAGGGATCTCTAAAGCAAACCTTTGAGTAGTTAATGGCTTTCTGAATTGTTCAATAAAATCCTTACATCTGTACGAATATGGTAATGAAACCAACCTTTCCATGACATTTTTGAAGTTTGTATACTCAATGTCTTCAATGGTTTCAACTAAAGTTTTTTCCAATTGTTCTTTTGTAAACCAAACACTTCCTTCCAATTTGAGGCTGTTATTGGGGTCTGGGCTAGCTTTTTTCCTAATTACCTTATCCTCAAACTTCTGTAATTCCTGAATGTTTTCTGCTGCATCATAGAGAACTTTAAAAAAACTTGCTTTGCCTGTATAAAATAGAAAATGGTGTGGTCTACCTGCTTCATCAAATTCAGCAGCTTTACGAGCTGGGTACACTTCTTCTGGAGATCTCATGAGCGGACGCGCAGCTGGATCATATATTCCACTGGGAAACAAATACTCAATAGCTCTGTCTATATCTTTTTGGGTGAAAGTTTCTGGATCTTCTCCCATCATATTGGCAAGATGCCTTTTACCTACATTAAACTCAAAATGCTGTTTTTTCATAAACTCATCATGTTCTTTAGCTCTTTCCAAATAAGCTTTCATAGCTTTACTAATTTTTTTCTTTTTACTTAAGGTTTCCCAATCCGTTAGGTTATCCGTAACATTGTTAGTAACTCTACTAGATCCAGTCCTATATTGGAAAATGTTTGATAAAACCTTGCCACGAACAGAACATCTTGTAGCAAGTATAGAATGTTTTACAGTAAAACAAAACACAAAAACCATATTTTTACATTTGCTTTTTCATGAATTCATAAATTAAAACTCAAATTCCAATTTGACAGAGACAGGCAGTGTTGCCAGGTCCAATTTTAAACAATCTGGAGGCGTCAGCGTACACTAGGGTTGCTTTCCAATTACAGCATTATTGCGCATAATGCCTAACGTTGAGTGTTCCAACTACAGCAACGCTTCGCACAATTGAGCACTCTCAAAAGTGATGCTTTCGTGTGATGCGTGCAATGGTACCAACTTAGAGAAAGAAAATTAACAAGTGTCTTTTCTTTAAGTTGGCATTGATCGAAATGTTTTATTTATATGTTATTGCTAGTAAGTGTAATATAATATTATATATTATAATATTATATTATAGTAATATTATTTATTGTTGAAAAATTATTAAAGCTATCGTTTCATTAAATAGTTTTTTTTAAATAATCAAAGTTCATTCAAACTGTTAAAAAATTAATATAAGTATGGATGAAGGTACAAACATTGACTTTTTTTTTCAACACTGAACTTAGCGCACTCTGCTGGTGCATTTGAAAACTAATTCACGTTCCAATTAAGCATCAGCATAATTGGGCATTGTGCGGCACTGAGTCGCATTATGCTCTGTAATTGGAAAGCATGCTAGGGTTGCTTTCCAATTACAGCATTATAGCGCATTATGCGGCATAATGCTTAACGTTGAGTGTTCCAATTACAGCAACGCTTCGCACAATTGAGCACTCAAAAGTAGCGGTGGGCGTTTAAACGAAAAGCGCTTAATTAAGCGCGCTTAAAATATTAAGCTTTTAAGTATAAGCGTTATAAGCTTTTCACTTAAAAAGTGTGAGTAAGCTTTTCACTTAAAAAAGTGCAAGTATATTTTTTACTTAAAAAGTGCAAATCCCGCCATCTATGTCTTTGCCAGGAAACTACATACTTCGATCCTTCTAGTCCACTACAGTATCTAAAAATGGGTACGCGGAATTCCTTGGAACTAAATATTTCACAGCATCACAGCCATAGAACGCGCGACTACAGCGCCGCGTCGGCGTGCCATCTTTCGTGAGCCGGTTAATACAGCATGCGAATTATTATAATGCGACGCTTTTTCGTTAAAAGCGTTTAATTAAACGAAGTCGAAAAGCAGTACGCTTGTCACTGTGACGGGGTAAGAGCGCGTGGGTGTTGTACGGTGTGTTTCCATGCTTGCTTGTGTTAATGCGTTTCGTGTATTGGTTTAATGTGCATATAAAATAGTTAAAAGTATGTATATAAAATCAATGAACTTTTAAGTACGCCTGGATCACGAGTATATTAACTCCAGACAGTCCTAACTTTGTAAAGTACGAAAGAAAGTTCATTGACTATTATAAAAATGTTTATTATAAAATCTAAATTCAATTGAAAACCTTTCGTTTTTAATGCCAATCAATTCATTAGGTTTAAAAAACTTTTTAATAAAAATTTCATTAATAATAAGAAAAAACGCAATAAAACACTTAAACACATTAAAAACGATAATAAACTTTTCACGCTTTTTTAAACGATATACCTAAACGAAAACACAGCACAACGTCGCGCTTTTTACGCATGCTTTTGAACGTTTAAGATAATAAGCGTTTAAACAAAAAAGCTTTTTTTCAAGCGCGCTTATTTTAAAAAGTACAACGTTTAAACGCTTTTAAGAAATAAGCCGTTTTTTCCATCTCTACTCGAAAGTGATGCTTTCGTGTGATGCGTGCAATCGTACCAACTTAGAGACAGAAAATTAACAAGTGTTTTTTCTTTAAGTTGGCATTGATCGAAATGTTTTATTTATATGTTATCGTTTGTAATATTATTTATTGTTGAAAAATTATTAAAGCTATCGTTTCATTAAATAGTTTATTTTAAATAATCAAAGTTCATTCAAACTGTTAAAATATAAATATAAGTATGGATGAAGGTACAAACATTGACTTTTTTTTTCAACACTGAACTTAGCGCACTATGCTGGTGCATTTGAAAACTAATTCACGTTCCAATTAAGCATCAGCATAATTGGGCATTGTGCGGCACTGAGTCACATTATGCTCTGTAATTGGAAAGCAAACTAGGGTAGCTTTCCAATTACAGCATTATAGCGCATTATGCGGCATAATGCTTAACGTTGAGTGTTCCAACTACAGCAACGCTTCGCACAATTGAGCACTCTCAAAAGTAATGCTTTCGTGTGATGCGTGCAATCGTACCAACCCAGTGACAGAAAATTAACAAGTGTTTTTTTCTTTAAGTTGGCATTGATCGAAATGTTTTATTTATACGTTATCGTAAGTAATATTATTTATTGTTGAAAAATTATTAAAGCTTTCGTTTCATTAAATAGTTTTTTTAAACAATCAAAGTTAATTCAAACTGTTAAAAAAATAAATATAAGTATGGATGAAGGTACAAACATTGACTTTTTTTTTCAACACTGAACTTAGCGCACTCTGCTAGTGCATTTGAAAACTAATTCACGTTCCAATTAAGCATCAGCATAATTCGGCATTGTGCGGCACTGAGTCGCATTATGCTCTGTAATTGGAAAGCAACCTATAATGTATGAAAAGAGCTGCAAGAAAAACAGTGGTGTCGATTCTGGCATGATTTTCTAAATTTAAGATCAGCTCTCCTTTTTATCCTATAAAGTGAATGACAAGGATACCTGTTGCCTTTAAGTTTAGGTGTAGAGAAATAAACCAGAATCGACACCAGTATATGCATGAACGTATTTTACCCCCCCCCCCCCCTCCCTCTACAATTGGCAAATCAATTCAAAATATCTAAAAGCCAGTAACGACTGCGTTTCTATTTAATTATTCTTAAATTCGTTCATAGTGGATATTGAGAAATAAAATTGTTGTGATTTTGTGTAAAAAACATCTGCGCAACTGAAGAATTAGTGGAATCTTTAAAACAAACGCTATTCCGGTCAAGTGGACGTGAGAACTATATTGTAGTTTTGACTACCTAACAGTACCCGTAGTACGAGTTTTACAATTACGAAAACTATGATAGTTTTCGTGAGCTCGCACTCATACTAAGGGTAATGATTTTATTGTTTTACTTTCAATACAAATATATAGTGTTTAAATTCTATCATTAAATCATTTGCATCTTCTTAAATTTTAAGTATATTTCGTTACTTTTCACCAAAATGGATATCGTCATCATCATCATCAACCCATTTTCGTCCACTGCTGGACATAGGTCTCCCCTAATGCACGCCACTGCTCCCGATTTTGTGCTACTCTCATCCAACCCACTCCAGCCAGCCTACGAATATCATCATCCCATCTTGTCTCAGGGCGTCCTATACTACGTTCACCGAGTCGTGGTCTCCACTCAAGAACTTTCCGGCTCCAACGGCCATCAGTTCTGTGGCTAATGTGACCAGCCCACTGCCACACCAGTTTGCTAATTCGGTAACGGATATAGAAACATAATTTACAATTACGAAAACTAAGATAGTTTTCGTGAGCTCAAATTTGTACTAAGGGTACAGGAGCTTATTGAAAAAGCCAACTCGATACATTTCGATACACTCCAAGAAACATTAGGATGCGTCACACCAACATTCTAATCTAAAAAAACATAAATATAACTTAATACTAAGCTGTATAGACATTATTACCTTTGCCTTCCTTAAAAGCGGGAATATTAAAAAATAAATAAAAAACATTCATGTTCATAGACAAAAGATGAAATCCGTTACCTACGCTACGCGATAAAAAATTTGAAAGAGATTGAGAAACCGCGGCGGATTTCTGTTCACAGTGTTGTTTGTTTGTTTGTTTTATGTTTTCTACGTCGATTTTTTTCCACACATGATTGAAGAACAGTTCTTAATAATAACTGTTTCATTTCGAGCCTTGTATCTAAGTACACTATTGATATATGGATCACAGTACAGTAAAAACGGATTAATCTTTTGGTTTCGTTAATGACAGTTTTACCTCTTGTAGGGTTTTGAGATTACCTGGTCTTCCTTGAGGTGAGCCATAAGGTATTTAAATATTTTTATGATTTACCTTTTCGTTACCTACCTAATTTCCATTCATTTCTTGAAAATCCAAGCTAAATTTCATAAAGCTTAAAAAAGTGACTAAACATCATCTTTATCAAAGTCAAGAAAAGTATTTTCGAAGCCGCAGTGAACATGCTAGATGATGTTTCTTTAATATTCAACGTGAATGTCTCACTAAACCAAATTCTAAAGAAATTTTCTTTAGATTTAAACATCTAGCAGTTACATGCTTCAAAAATAACAAATTTAAACAAAATTCATTAGAAAAATAATTTACTATTGAATTTTGAATGCTTGGGCTACCAGTAATCAAACAAAACTGTAAAATGTAGGTTGTTTTACAAATCTTATAGTTTTTATCATAGCAAATGCACACTTGATTTTATTGTTCAACTGCTGATTACCTATTATTTAAAATTCATTTTCACTTTTTAACTAGTTGGTTGAAGGCTATGGAACTTGTAAAAATGTGGAAAATAAATATAATTTCACTTTCTAAAACTGTGGTATAGGTTTTGTTTATATTTATAATTTACATTTTATATATTTATAATTGTATAGCATTACCATATTCTCCTACAGGTATGTTACATCCACACACATTACACATTAAGTAATTTAATTTGATTGGCAAATTTTCAGGTTGATGAGAAATTACAATTTAGTAGAAATCACAAGAAATTATTTATAATGTCAGATAGTGATGACCTGTTACCCAACAATGTTTACTCTTTTCAAAATCAAAGCACTGTGAGTATTTGCTTTGATATAAATATATTATTACTTTTTTTTTTAGTGATATAGTAAAACCAATGAGATATTAAATTATTATTTTCATTTATATATAATTGGTTTGAAGTTTTTTAAAATCTAATTCTAAGCAATTATTCCAGGCTATTTGTGCTAAGGGTCCAAATATAAACAGTACCAGCATAAATGGTTTAAGTTTTCGGAATAATATATTATCTTCAACCAGGCACATGCCAAGAACATTTGAGAGGCAAAGATATTCAGAGCTGAGCTTTGACCAGAGATGCATGTCT